CCGCAGCGCGTCCGACAACATCCCATCAGCGAGTGTACTATGGACACACACACACTATAGACTGTGTGTACTATAGACACACACACACTAGACTGTGTACACTATAGACACACACTATAGACTGTGTGTACTATAGACACACACACTATAGACTGTGTGTACTATAGACTGTGTACACTATAGACACACACTATAGACACACACACACTATAGACTGTGTGTACTATAGACTGTGTGTACTATAGACACACAAACACACTATAGACTGTGTGTACTATAGACACACACACACTATAGACTGTGTACACTATAGACACACACACACTATAGACTGTGTGTACTATAGACAAACACACACACTATAGACTGTGTACACTATAGACACACACTATAGACTGTGTGTACTATAGACACACACACTATAGACTGTGTGTACTATAGACTGTGTACACTATAGACACACACTATAGACACACACACACTATAGACTGTGTGTACTATAGACTGTGTGTACTATAGACAAACACACACACTATAGACTGTGTACACTATAGACACACATACACTATAGACTGTGTGTACTATAGACTGTGTGTACTATAGACACACACACTATAGACTGTGTGTATTATAGACTGTGTACACTATAGACACACACACTATAGAATGTGTGTACTACAGACAAACACACACACTATAGACTGTGTGTACTAAAGACAAACACACAAACTATAGACTGTGTACACTATAGACACACACTATAGACTGTGTACACTATAGACACACACACACTATAGACTGTGTGTACTATAGACACACACACACACTATAGACTGTTGTACTATAGACACACACACACTATAGACGGTGTGTACTATAGACACACACTATAGACTGTGTACACTATAGACTGTGTACACTATAGACACACACACTATAGACACACACACACTATAGACACACACACTATAGACACACACTATAGACACACACACACACTATAGAGTCTATAGTGTGTGTGTGTGTCTATAGTGTGTGTGTGTCTATATTGTGTGTGTGTCTATAGTGTACACAGTCTATAGTGTACACAGTCTATAGTGTGTGTGTCTATAGTGTGTGTGTGTCTATAGTGTGTGTGTGTCTATAGTGTGTGTGTGTGTCTATAGTGTGTGTGTGTCTATAGTGTGTGTGTGTCTATAGTATAGACACACACACACTATAGACACACGCACACACACTACAGACACACACACTATAGACACACACTATAGACACACATACACACTATAGACACACACTCTATAGACACACACACTATAGACACACACTATAGACAGACACACACTATAGACGCACACACTACACACACTACACACTGTAGACACACACTGTAGACACACACACACTATAGACACACACACACTATAGACACAGACTATAGACACACACACACACACTACACACACTATAGACACACACACTACACACACTATAGACACACACACACTATAGACACACACTATAGACTGTGTGTACTATAGACACGCACACACTATAGACTGTACACTATAGACACACACACTATAGACTGTGTACACTATAGACACACACACACACTATAGACTGTGTGTACTATAGACAAACACACACACTATAGACTGTGTACTATAGACAAACACACACACTATAGATTGTGTACACTATAGACACACACTATAGACTGTGTGTACTATAGACAAACACACACACTATAGACTGTGTGTACTATAGACACACACACACTATAGACTGTGTACACTATATACTGTGTACACTATAGACACACACACTATAGACACACACACTATACACACACACTATAGAGTCTATAGTGTGTGTGTCTATAGTGTGTGTCTATAGTGTGTGTGTGTCTATAGTATGTGTGTGTCTATAGTGTGTGTGTGTCTATAGTGTACACAGTCTATAGTGTACACAGTCTATAGTGTGTGTGTGTCTATAGTGTGTGTGTGTCTATAGTGTGTGTGTCTATAGTGTGTGTGTGTCTATAGTGTGTGTGTCTATAGTGTGTGTGTGTGTGTGTCTATAGTATAGACACACACACACGCACACACACTACAGACACATACACTATAGACACACTATAGACACACACACACTATACACACACACACTATAGACACACACACTATAGACACACACACACTATAGAGTCTATAGTGTGTGTGTGTGTCTATAGTGTGTGTCTATAGTATGTGTGTGTCTATAGTATGTGTGTCTATATTGTGTCTATAGTGTACACAGTCTATAGTGTACACAGTCTATAGTGTGTGTGTCTATAGTGTGTGTGTGTCTATAGTGTGTGTGTGTCTATAGTATAGACACACACACACACGCACACACACTACAGACACATACACTATAGACACACTATAGACACACACACACTATAGACACACACACTATAGACTGTGTGTACTATAGACACACACACACTATAGACTGTGTACACTATAGACACACACTATAGACTGTGTACACTATAGACACACACACACACACTATAGACTGTGTGCACTATAGACAAACACACACACTATAGACTGTGTGTACTATAGACACACACACACTATAGACTGTGTACACTATAGACACACACACACACACTATAGACACACACACACACTATAGACACACACACTACACACACTATAGACACACACACTATAGACACACACACTATAGACACACACACTACACACACTATAGACACACACATTATAGACACACACACTATAGACACACACACTACACACACTACACACACTGTAGACACACGCTATAGACACACACACAGTAGACACACACTATAGACACACACTGTAGACACACACACACTATAGACACACACACACTATAGACAACAACCAACAACAACAACCGCCATTCGCCACTAAGTGGCGGTGACGTCACCACGACGCTTGTGCCAGGCCATGTGCACCTTGAGGCCACGTGAAGTGTCGAACGCCCGCTGGCAGGAGGTCACGGGGCAGACCCAGGTGCCACGGGTCGACTGACTGAGATGACTGGCTGATGCACCACCTGTGCCCCCTACTGTGCCAACTTGCTGTGCTTTAGCCACCCGGCGCTCCGCTCGTTGTTGTGAGCGTCGCTCCTCCACCCTCCGTTGTTGTTGGAGGGCGACTGCCTCCAACTGCCCAGTAGCGTCCTTCACGAGCCTCCTCCACAGAGGCCGATCTTGACACCGCTGGTACCAGTCATCGGCAAGTCCACTCAGCTCCACGTCTTCCTGTACCACATCACTCCATCTCTTCTCTAGCCCGTGCCGCGCCCGTTTAGCCCCGTCGATCCGGCCAAACAAAAGCTGTTTAGGCATGCGGTGGCTGGGCTTGCGGGCTACATGACCCAGCCAACGCAGCCTTGCCTGCCGGAGGAACTCACCGATGGGACTTTGCCCAGATCTTTCAAGGATTTGTGAGCTCCTCACACAATCCAGCCTGGTTAAACCCAGGATGGATCGCAGGCAGGCCAGCCTAAATGTTTCCAACCGGCGAAGATGCTCCATTAGGGGGGTCCACGTTTCGCAAGCATAGAGAAGGGAGGGAATGACTGTGGCCGAGAAGACCTGAAGCTTCGTGCGGAGCGACAGACCAGGTAGCTTCCACACAGCGTTACGCAACCGATGAAAATATATTGCCGCTCGACTGATTCGGAGAGAGACCTCTGCTGTTAAACTGGAGCCGGTCATAAGCACACTGCCCAAGTATGGGAAACTCTCCACTCTCTCCACTACTACCCCATCACCGATTGGGAGTTGTGGGGGTGGAGTGTCCGATGGCACAAAACACCCAGGCAGGTGCTTAGTTTTGGTGGGGCTGATGGTAAGGCCCCACCTCTTAGTGGCACGCTCCAGTCTCAGCAGCAGCGTCTCCAACTCCTCCTCTGAATGAGCAGCTATTACCAAATCATCGGCATTCATAACGTGGTTGACCAATAGGGAGCCATCCCTTGATCGCACCCGGGCATCGATCAGCCTCCCATTATATCTGTACCAAATGGAGATTCCCCCGGTATAGCTATTGAAGGCTTCACGAACTACGTGGTCAAAATAGATGTTAAATAATGTGGGAGCCAGAGGACATCCCTGTCGCACCTCAAGGTGTACAGGGAAAGGCTCTGACTCTCGGCCACGTAGTTTTACCCGGGCCCGCTCACCATCAGGAAAGTCCTTAATGATCGTGAGCAGAGGGTCAGGGACTCCGAAAGTACGAAGAACAACCCTGAGCCCAGGCCTACTGATGGTATCATAGACCTTGACCAGGTCAATAAAGCAGAGATGTAGGTCTTGTTGAAATTCCCTACACCTCTGCTGTAGCAGACGGACAGAAAATATGACATCTGTGCAGGACCGCCCTTTCCTGAAACCACATTGGGGCTCCGTAAGCCTCTCCTAAGCGTGCCTAGCAAGGCGATGTTGAATAATCCTTGCCAGGACCTGACATTACACACACTACACACACATACTACAGACACACACACACTATAGACACACACACTATAGACACACACACTACACACTATAGACACACACTATAGACACACACACTATAGACACACACTACACACTGTAGACACACTATAGACACACACACTATAGACACACACACTACAGACACACACACTATAGACACACACACTATAGACACACAACACACACAATACAGACACGCTATAGACACACACACACTATAGACACACTATAGACACACACACTACAGACACACTACAGACACACACACTATAGACACTACAGACACACACACTATAGACACTACAGACACACACACTATAGACATACACACTACACACACTACACACACACTACACACACACACTACACACACACTACACACACTACACACACACCACACACACCATAGACTCACAAAGCCCACGTGTTGCGCGCTCCGTACTCGTCTCACCTGAGAGAGCGACCGCGCTGACTCCGGGACCCTCTTCCCGTGTCTCCCGTGTCCCTCTTCCCGTCTCTCTCTTCTCGTCTCTCTCTTCTCGTGTCCCGTGTCTCTCTTCCCGTGTCCCTCTTCCCGTGTCTCTCTTCCCGTGTCTCTCTTCTCGTGTCTCTCTTCCCGTGTCTCTCTTCTCGTGTCTCCCGTGTCTCCCTTCTCGTGTCTCTCTTTTCGTGTCCCTCTTCTCGTGTCTCCCGTGTCTCTCTTCTCGTGTCCCGTGTCTCCGTCTCCCGTGCCTCGTGTCCCTCTTCTCGTGTCCCGCGTCTCCACGGGCGTGCCGAGCGCCTCACTGCGCGACACTTCTCCTCCTCGCCCTCTCTGCGAGTCTCCGTCTCCTCCTCCTGCTGCTGCCCCCTCCGTCTCCTCCTCCTGCTGCTCCCTCCCTATTTTATTCCGCCCGGCATCCGGCCCAGACTCAGCTCACGGGGAGGAGGTTGGGCGGAGTGAAGGGGTAGAGGGGGAGGGGGGGTGCTGCTGATGATGATGATGAGACGCGCTCACGCACGACGCTAATGGAGGTGGTGACCTCGTGGTTATCTTCATCAGCAGATCGACGCGGGGGGGGGGGGGGGCAGAGGTCCCGGCTCTCGACTCGCTCACGACATCGTGACTCGACTCGGAGCACGCACGCGCCGCGACACGACCCCACTCGCTCACGCAGCCCACTCCTCACTCACCCACCCAGCCACTCACCCACCCACCTACTCACCCACCTACTCACTCACCCACCTACTGACTCACTCACTCACCACTCACCCACCCACCTACTCACCACTCACCAACCAACCCACTCGCTCACCCACCCACCTACTCACCCACCCACTCACTAACTAACCCACTTGCTCACCCACCCACTCACCCACTCCCCCACTCACTCACCCACTCACTCACGCACCCACTCCTGACTCACTCACCCACCGACTGCACCACTCACTCACACACCCACCCACGTACTCACTCACCCACTCACTCACCCACTCACCCATCATCCACTCGTTAACTCATCCATTCACTCCCTCATTAAGTTATCAATTCATTCACTAATTTACTCACTCGTTAACTCACTTGTTCAGTCACTCATCTATTCACTAACTCAACCACTCCTTCATTCACATCCATTCAAACACTCACCCACCCACTCACCAACCAACCCACTCGCTCACGCAGCCAACTACTCACTCACCCACCCACTCACCAACTAACCCACTCGCTCACCCAGCCCACTCCTCACTCACCCAGCCACTTACACACCCACCTACTCACCCACCTACTCACTCACCCACCTACTGACTCACTCACTCACCCACTCACCACTCACCCACCCACCTACTCACCACTCACCAACCAACCCACTCGCTCACCCACCCACCTGCTCACCCACCCAGTCACTAACTAACCCACTTGCTCACCCACCCACTCACCAACCAACCCACTCGCTCACCCAGCCACCTACTCACTCACCCACCCACCCACTCACCCACTCCCCCACTCCCCCACTCACTCACCCACTCACTCACGCACCCACTCCTGACTCACTCACCCACCGAATGCACCACTCACTCACACACCCACCCACGTACTCACTCACCCACTCACTCACCCACTCACCCATCATCCACTCGTTAACTCATCCATTCACTCCCTCATTAAGTTATCAATTCATTCACTAATTTACTCACTCGTTAACTCACTTGTTCAGTCACTCATCTATTCACTAACTCAACCACTCCTTCATTCACATCCATTCAAACACTCACCCACCCACTCACCAACCAACCCACTCGCTCACCCAGCCCACTCCTCACTCACCCACCCACCTACTCACCACTCACCAACTAACCCACTCACCCAACCCATTCCTCACTCACCCACTCACCACTCACCCACCCACTCACCCAGCCCACTCCTCACCCACCCACCTACTCACCACTCACCAACCAACCCACTCGCTCACGCAGCCAACTACTCACTCACCCACCCACTCACCAACTAACCCACTCGCTCACCCAGCCCACTCCTCACTCACCCACCCACCCACCACTCACCAACCAACCCACTCACTCACCCAACCACTTCTCACTCACCCACCCACCTACTCACCACTCACCAACCAACCCACTCGCTCACGTAGCCCACTCCTCACCCACCCACCCACCACTCACCAACCTACCCACTCACTCACCCAACCACTCCTCACTCACCCACCCACCCACTCACCACTCACCACCCACCCACTCACTCACCCACCCACCCACTCACCACTTTCCAACCAACTCACTCGCTCACCCATCCCACTCCTCACTCACCCACCCACCTACTCACCACTCACAAACCAAACCACTCGCTCACCCAGCCTACACCAGCCACTCCTCACTCACCCACCCACCTACTCACCAACTAACCCACTCGCTCACCCAGCCCACACACCCACTCCTCACTCACCCACCCACTCGCTCATCCAGCCCACACCAGCCACTCCTTACTCACCCACCCACTCACTCACCCACTCACCACTCACCCACCCACCCACTCACCCACTTACTCACCCACCCACTCCTGACTCACTCACCCACCGACTGCACGACTCACTTACTCACCCACTCACCCATCATCCACTCGTTCACTCATCCATTCACTCTCTCATTAAATTATCAATTCATTCACTAATTTACTTACTCGTTAACTCACTTGTTCAGTCACTCATCTATTCACTAACTCAATCACTCCTTAATTCACATCCATTCACTGATTCACTCACTCGTTCACCCACTCATTAATCCACTCACCAATTCACTCATCCGCACACTAATTCACTCACTCGTTTACTCAATAATCCATTCATTTACACATACACTTATGCATTCACTCACTCGTTCGCTCACTCATCCATTCACTCATACACACTCATTCACTCACTCGTTCACTCATACTCAATCATCCATTTACTCACTGATCTACTCATACACTCATTCAGTCACTCTTTGACTCACTTGTTCACTCACTCATTCACTCACTTGTTCACTTACTCATAGATTCACCCACTCATCCACGCACTCGTTCACTCACTCATTCACTCACTCGTGCACTCACTTATCAATTCACTCACTCATCAATTCACTCAATCATTCACTCCCTTGTTAACTCATGTATTCAGTCACTCACGCATCCACTCACTCGTTCACTCACCCAGCCACTCATTCACTCACTCGTTCATTCACTCTTCCATTCACTCGCTCCACTCATTCACACACGAATCCACTCATTCACTCGTTCAGTCACTCATCCACTCACCCATCCACTCACCCATTCATTCACCCACTCATTCGTTCACTCACTCACTATCTATTTACTCACTCACCCACTCACACACACACATTCACTCACTCGTCCATTCACTTGTTCAATCACTCATTCACTCACTCATCAATTCACTTATCCACTAATTCACTCATCTACTCACATGTTCACCCAATCATATATTCCTTCACTTATTCACCGATGTATTCACTCACTCGTTTATCCACTCATCCATTCACTCACCCACTCACTCGTTCACTCATTAACTCACCTATTCAGTCACTCATCCATGCACTCATGCATCCACTTGTTCACTGATTCATTCACTAAGGCACTTACGCATTCACTCACTCATTTGTTCGCTCATTCACTCACTCATTCACTCACTGGTTCACACACTCATCCACTCATTAACTTATTTGTTTACTCACTCATTCATCCATTCACTCACTCATCTAATCATTGACTCGTTCACTCACTATCCATTTTCTGACCCATTCACTCACACTCATTCACTCACTCGTTTACTCATTCACTCGTTCATTCACTCATCTACCCACTCATCCACTCGCTCATTCACTCACTCGTTCTATCACACTCACTCATCCATTCACTTACTCATTCAATCACTCTCTCATTCACTAACTCGTTAATTCAATCATCAATTCACTCACTCATCCACTCACTCGTTTACTCAATAATCCATTCACTCGCTCATCCATCTACTCATTTATTCACTCACTGGTGTACTCAGTAATTCATCCATTAGCTCACGCATCTACACACTCGTTCGCTCACTCCTCCACTCACTAATCCGCTCACTCGTTCACTGCAGTCGTTCTCTCACTCATCCATTCAATTACTCATGCATCCACTCACTCATTTGTTCACTGATTCACTCGTCGATTCACTAACTCATTCGCTCACTCTTACACTCATAAATTGAATAATTCACTCAATCGATCACTCACTCATTAATTCACTGGTTCACTCACTCACTGATTCACTCATCCACTCAACCATCAACTCGCCCACTCGTTCACTCACTGATTCACTCATCCACTCACTCATCCACGCACTCATTCAGTCACCCACTCATTCACGTCCCCTGGTCGTGAGTATGGATGAGAACGAGGTCTCTGTGTGTCCTGCACTCTCTCTCTCTCTCTGCGCGCCCTGGGAGGCAGTCGCACCTAGCGGGCGCTCCTGCTTTCCCAGGTGTGCGGACGGAGGCCTGGGCTTCAGGGCAGCCTGAGCCTGGCCTGAGGGAGAGGTTAACGGGGAAGAAATGCGATCGTCATTGTCGTGTTTCTTTCTGTATTTTTTTCTGTACTAAGTCCTTACTGTTACCATTGTTATTATTATTATTTTTGTTTCTATTGTGCTGTTGCCATGCGAGTGTCATGGCTCAGCACGATAGCATTGAAGCCCTCACGGATGAGCACGGCTTCATGTGCTTTCCTCTGCCGGGGACGTCTTCCGACGACGTCGCCGTTGCGGTGGCTGCGCACATCGGGCCGGCAGCCATCCGCATTGTACAGAGGGAGAACCGCGGCTACGTGGTCTACGTGGCCGAGGTGGATGCGGCGGCGCGCATCGTGGAGAGGGGGCTCAACGTCGGGGGGGAGGGGGGGCTGCTCGTGCAGTGCACCCCTCTCTCCACGCCGACGGTGAAAGTCACTATCTCCGGTCACCCACCATACCTGACGAATGCGGAGCTGATGCAGCGCTACGGTACGGTGGTGTCGCGCATCGTGTTGCTGCCCATGTGGACGCAGAACCCTGCTATGAAGCACATCCTGTCGGGTCAACAGCAGGCCTTCCTCGTGCTAAAGGGTGGGCGCACCGGGCTGGACGTGGCCATCAAGCGCACCGCTGGTGGCCGCGTCCACACAGAGTACCTGCCCACAACTGCGCCGCGGTGCTACAGGTGCGGCGGCGTTGGGCACGTGAGGAGAAACTGCTCGGCCAAGACCAAAGAGGGAGCGGCGTGGTCTGGCCAAGCAGGTGCGGAGCGGAAGACGCCAGTGCCGGAGCCGAGGCAGCCGCGGCAG